ATGGTACACGCTTGCATGTTTACTTAGTGAACTGAACAAATTGTTTACAAGAAATTTAGAACCGAAGAATCAATTTCCACCGCAAGAATGGGCGTTGATAAGTTTTTGTTACGTTGTTATGTGTACGAGAATTAATAATTGCACGTAATACATCAAGTTTTAGTCAAATATCAAAGTGTGAAGATTCGAGTAAAAAAAGCTCGGCACGGAACGTGTTAATCTCCTGCTCTTAAGTTTGTACATCCTTGAACTCGATCTTGCGTCGAGTGAACGAACACTTCAAGCTCGACCAATGTCCACAGAATCTTGAAACATGCAATCTTGTTATGACAATGTTCTTTTACAAATGTTATATATTTAATTTCTGCACTTGTAAGTTGCAGATATTAGACAGTGATTAAAATGCTTTTTTCAAATTTTGCTATTACATACTTGGAACGAAAAAAAAATCTTCCGTTTTTTTAACTCTTTTATCTGAGCTTATAACGAAAACTTAAAAAATGCCTTTTGTTGATGGCATTACTGAAATAATAAATGTTGTTTACCATTCCCCTAGAATAAATGTTGTTTCTCCTTCGATGTAGAACAAAATATAAAACGGAGTTTTTTTGTCATGACAAAACTACGCGTCGTTTAAACCTAAATCCTGTTTAAAAAAATGCAGAAGGAATAATAATACTCGACTCTCAAAACAAAGGAGTAATTTCTGTTAGAATAAAAATTTTACGCAATTACGTGTAATCATTCTTTTCGCATCTTGAAATAAATGTTCTGAAGGAACATTTATCGATTAAATATACAGTAACTGTTAAAATTGAACTTGTACAATAGAATCGTACAATAGAACTTGTACTTGTACAATAGAAGCGTTAATATGAAAGCTAACTTAAAAAAGAGTAAGCAATAATTTAGAAGTTAATGGTTTACTAAATAGCTTGTATTTATAAAAGTTCTTTATTTCATAATCAAGGTGCTCGATCCATTGCACGCTGAGACAGTGCATCCAATAGCATCATCGATGCCTTCGTATATAGGCGTCATTTTTTTATTCTCTCGACTGGAACCGGTTCCCTGAAAAGTTTGCTGAAACGCCGATCTCGTTGCTCGCGGTTTATTAATCGTTATCGTTAATAGAGCGGGAAACTGATTCGACGGGGGATTCAAAATCGACACGGCTCGACTCGGAATCTGGGTTAAGTCTGATCAAGTTGATTAACGGTTGTTAATAATTAGGCGGGCTGCGGCAAAAGCTGCTCTGTTGTTTGTTAAACCGATAAACGGTGCTCAATGGTGCGGATGCGAAGTTGGCTAGGTTTTTCGAGATCGCTGCGAATTCCTCGGTCAGCCAGAAATAGAAATGACGATGAAAACGACGCGGCAGCAGGAAAATTTCTCGGAGGGAAACCGTGACGCAGATAATTGTAATTTATCGCCAATTATGGCTGATCTAGTCGCGTTGAGGCGAACGGAATTATGTAAGATGGTAGATCTTTGCGCGGGATATGTGCGTTTCAACTAGTGCGAAGAGCATTTATCGGCGTGATTCCTGAACTGTGCGGCTAACAAACGCTTCAAGTAAGTAAAAAAGTATCGTTTTGGAAAAATTTGTTGTCTTCCAAGTGTTGTGCCGTTTGGTTTCCGAAAACTTGAACACTTTAACTGCCACGCCAACAACTTAAAAAGAGTCCATAAAATTAAAGTATCTCATCCAATTAAATGAAAATCAATTACTTCTTCAACATTCTTACGTTTTGCGAATTTTAATAAAATTAGGAAGTTAAAAACAGCTAGCTGGTTAAAGTGTTAATAGGCCAAAAATAGTATTAAATATATCTCTATCTCTTATTATAATAAAACTGGATCTCATCATTTCATATTCCAATTAAATACATAGCACGAAATATTAGTTCTCTGAAACAATATCATTGGAGCTGTCGAGACCACAGCTAATGGTTCGCTAATCTTTATTAATGTAATCAAATCTTCATCGTATTGCCTATTGTCAAGATAATATACTACATTTGTAGATACATCAAGTGCTTTGTTTTCAGCCAATACCTAATTGCTTCTCGCTTTTACGTAACACGAATCATGACCTCTTTAAGTATGGTATTTATAGATATAGATATAGATTATTAGAATAAAAGAGAAGATGAAAATATTGTTGGCTTTTGTAACTGAAGTTCGAACTAAATTGTATTAAACTGTAGCAAAACACCTGTTGTACGTAGAAAAACAAGAGGAAAGAGGAAAGGAATATTTTAAATTCTTTATTTCATAATTACTGAGATTCTGAAGATACTTTTACGAATAATTACTAGATACATCTGTTTATTTAAGACCGTTCTGGATTTAAAAAATCGTGCGGTGTTTTAGTAAGTGGGGGTTTGTTGTTTAGTGCTTCATTATTCCTCACCTTAAATAATAGAATGTATCCTATGCGATCCAGTATTCGCTAAAAAGATGTGAATCCGAAATCAAGTCAAGTAGCTGGGAAGCGTTGTTCACTTGAAGAATGAGTATACTGGAACAAGAATTTAGAATAGAGATAGTAGAAAAATTCACGTGTGTAATATAATAATTACATCGACATCGCAACCTATATGAGAATATTAAAATTACATAAAAGATAACAAAAATCGTCGAATAGCGTTCGTTTTTATTGAAAGTAAGAAGCGGGAAATTAAAAACAATACTAACGATACGAGATTAATCTAAGCAAAGATCATCGTCAATCCGGAGAAGATTCGAATATCAAATTCTGATCAAATTGTTCTACTAAATTCAACGAAAGCAAAGGTATCCTAGATTTTCCGATCTACGAGAGATCCAAGAGATCCACTTGGCAATAAAATACGGTGTCCGAAGCGGCGAAGCTTTGACCTCGTGCCTCTAATTTGCGTCGAAGCCACACGACGTCGTCTAATATTCATTACTCACGACGATATTATCTCGGAGCGTTGTTGTTGCTCGGGATTAAGAGAGGAGCCGGACGATAACGACTGCTGAAAAAGTCGAGTCACGAACTGTTCACCGGCAACGTCAGTTTCCCGGCTAATAAGAGTGTATCGCAAAAAGGACGGCGAAAAGAAATTGGAAGCCAGTGGCGAAATGGGGGAGCCGTCGCGATATGGATGCGAATACGAGTGCTTTTCGAGAATCAAGATGAGGGAGCGGCACGAAAGACGTCGTTGTCACGTAGTCCCCTGATGGCTCGGCGAATTCACGGACCTCGACAGGGGCTTTAAAAGGAAGAAATATTAATCCAAGTTAAGCTTACATAACGATGAAACACGACTGTTTCTGCCGCCGAAGTGAAGTTCTCATGGAGACTGGAACGAACGCGAGTGCACTCTAACTAGACAAAGGCGAGCGCGTGGGTCACTTCTGTTTCGCCTTCTCTTTCGCAGCAACTCGCCTGCACTCGCGCGTCCCTGTGTGCAGGCGTGTAAGAGCGTGTGCAGGCACGAGAGAGAGAGAGAGAGAGAGAGAGAGAGAGAGAGAGAGAGAGAGAGAGAGAGAGACGAAGGGGGAAATTTATTATGCCCTCAGAACGAAATGCGAGCGTGTGCCGCGCGTGCACATACGTATGCAGGTTAATTAGCCTTAAACATACAGCAGCGAAGTGGCAACGAGCCGGGACATTTTTGCGACGTGCGTCGAAGACGTCGCCGGAAGCCTCGTTGGTCATTGAGCCCGCGAACAGTGGCGGGACAAAGTTTGTTATTAATATGCATTAGTGGTGTAGCAGAAGTTTGTTGCAGAAATTTATGGCTGCAGAAGTCTTACCACCCTTATTACGGGCTTATATATCTTCCCTGGTCTTGCACATGCCCTGCATGTGTTCATAATTCGGTCTCCATCTTGCATTAAATATGGAATGCCGTGAAAAGTTTGTAATATGCGGGTTTGCTTCGTACGCCGCGAATCTCGCACCTAGGAAGCTCTGTTGTCTAATTACCGTGATTACGAATCGATGCAAATTGACGTGGTAAAAAACGAAGCAGTATAAATGACAATTTTGCTGTTTCGAGCTTCAAGATTCCGCATTGGAACTCAAAATTCCTTGTTAGTCATAAAACATTTTTGAAGTAGCTGGTTTTCTGTCTTAACTGTCTTAAATGAACCACTAAATGTGTCATTTAAACCCATCAGCATCTTAATATTTTCAAGTTATGTGTAATTTGAAAGGAAAATGTGTTTAAATTTATCCATTCTTCATATAATCTTGATTAGTCAAAATAAAAAGATTATTTAATTAGTATTTAATTTAACTCAATGACTAAAACGAAAGCAATTTGTTGTTAATAATTTATAAACAATCGCTCAAGATTGCAATCATTCATTTATCGTCATTGACTGTAGATGTATTTCGATAGTTCAGATTTTTGTAGAAGATACGGTGAATGGGTAGTTCAAGTTCAAGTAATTCTTGTAGATTTTTGTACTTGTGTCTGTCTTCATAGCCAGTGGTGTCTTATAAAGTTCTTTTTAATTTGTTACGATGAATTAAGAATTAGACGGGTTCAAATTCGAAACTGTTAATTTCACATATACACGTGTTCTTGCATACACGCGAAATAGGAATCTCTAGTATAAATATTTTGCTTTTCTTATCTTTTATGTTATATTTCACATATTTTCAACTCCTCACCTATGAATAAGATAACATATTTTTATATCCACGACTTATAGACCTAGATGTCTAAAGGTGTGTTTTCTTTGAATAAAAAAAGAAGAAAATATCGCATTGCAATCGGGAAAGTTAGTGCACTTATCTTTATTTGACCAATTATGTCAGTTACACCTCTTTGTTTCTAACCGCCTCATTTATTTGCTTGACGAACATGGAACGTAATGTTTGGCGTATCGATTTATTGATGAAAATCAAGGTTATGAAGGTAATAATACGTTGAGTTGTTTACTTAGGTACGCGTTAAGCTATTACTATGCGCAAGTATAAATGAGACTATTCTGGTCTATGAAAAGTGCATGTCATTCGGCGGTTATGCGTATCTATTTAATGGAGATAATTATGTTGATGTGGAATATTGCAGAAATCATCAGATCTTGGTGTCTGGAGTGTAATATATTTTTGTCATTCACGATGAGGAATGATAGGTAGTACATTAATATTAAAAGACGCTTATAATTAACA